GACTGAATGTTATCGAGAAATGTCGAAATTAGTCGAAACTACCTGTTTCGTTAGTAATGACTACTAGAACTGTTTGCATTGCCATCTAACATTTGCGGGCGGAAACTAAGTTAAGATCCTAATATATTTATTTCTTGCTCGATATCGTCTATGTCGTCTTGTCGAGCTGTTAAATTTATTATGTAGTCATTTTATATGTTATTAAACTTATTTACATATAAATATGTGATTAAATCTATTTTAAATATTAATTAGAGGTAATTTTTACCTTCACTTCGCTTCTTATTTATTCGTTTTAGCATTTTGCTTTGATATCTTTTCGTTAATCTGTTTCTTTTTCGCGTTGCAGTTGTTATATTTGTTTCTTTTTATGTTTCTATATAAACATATTGATAATGAAGTGAGCTTATATTATAGAGTTTGATTTGTATTGTTTTATTTTTTCCGAGTATCGAATTGGTTTTAGTATATTAGCGCTGTTAGTTTTTTCGATGTTTTTGTCCCTAGAATATTGAATCTAATCATTCTGTAAATATTTTCTTACTGGTTTAACTCCTTTATCTTTTTAAATGACGAAACGAATCAAAATAAAAAAAGTAATTTAAGTTTTAAAAATTGACCAATTATATACAAAATACTTTAAGTTATCAATCTGACAAAAGTAATGACTTGAATGTCAGTTCTGAATTTATTTTTCAGATATAAAAAAGATTCTTTTTACATTTAAAAATTAATTTAAGATTAGTGATATCTCTAACAGCACAGATATCTAGAAGATGTCCTGAGTACATTTTGAAGACGTCTCAATATTCTCTGAATGTCCCTGAAATATTCTCAGAAGTTCTTGTGCTGTCTGGGATACGACTAAATTCTATTTGAATTTTTTTAATTATATGTGTTATTTGGATTATTATATTTTTTTACATAGTAAATAAAGTAAGATTTAAAGGTAGTAGGTTCCTTAAATGTTCAAGTTTAAGTGCGTGTTGTGAATTTATTTTGTATCGAAGGTCCTTTGAGGTCTCTTTCGTGATATTAATTAGTTGTTTCGATTATCTCGATTGACTCGATCTATTGCGACCAGATTCATGTTACTTGCAACTGTCGAAGAGACAGTTAAAGAAACAATTGTCAAAGAAATTTGTGCATCTCAGGAGATTACTTTCTTATCAAGACAAGAAGTACCTAAGAAGGAGAGAAAAATCTATCCTGGATAGGCTATTTAATTCTATTAAGGGCCATATGTACGTTATTAAATGGGACAGTTTCACATACACACTAAGTAAAACTGCTGCAGAGAAGTCAAGATAATTATATTGTCCAATAATTGTACACATATACACAATAAAAAACAATGTTTATATTTTAAAATTGTATTACTCATTTTTTATAAAAAAGCAACAATAATAGAGAAATAACGAGTACAAGTATAGAATAGTACAACGGTTAAATGGTCATTTAAAGGCGTACACATGTCATTCCTGGTAAAAATTGTTTTCATAATTTTTCATACAATTTCTCATCTTATTATTTTTTTTAATGTTGTTATGTCATTAAATCCGATTTAACCGTCATGCAATAAGTATTGAAGGCAGCAGCACCGAATAAAATATTAGTCTCGCTATGTAAATAACTTTTACAGAATTTTTTTGATGGTTTATTTAAAAATATATTATGCTTCGATTTTGATAAAACTTAATACAATCTGAACGGAACGATCGACCAAATTAATTCGCACATGTAAAAGTACAGTATTTTATTAACATGATAGAAAAATGTCATTATCTGCTGTTTTATTGCAATAATTTTCTATACATTCCTTGGTAGAAAATTAATTTCGAATTATCGTACCAGTCTCTCTTACATTATTTATACGCTAAACGGTTTCGTCTATATTTTGCGGCTTAAAAGGCGAACAAACTATAATATTTTTCTTCCTTAAACTTTAAATGGACAATACAAAGCGCTTTTTATCAAGTGAGGAATTGGCGTAGTGTCTAAGGCGACGGACGATTATCCAAAAGATGTCTTCAGTTCAAGTTCGAATCTCACTAGAGAAAATATTAAAAATTATGAAAAAATAATGTAGAAAAATTTTTTTTGTCATGGCATTTT